CTCTCAAATAAGTCTTAATTTATTTTTTTTGTTCAGATTTTTGTATTACACAATGCAGAAAGAAAAACGACGCCAATTTGTAAAAAAAAAATTTTGGTATTATTTAAGACTGTGGTCGGAACATTATTCTGTGCTGCATGAACAGTAACTTGCTATCTTCATTTTTAATTGCGCAAGCTAAGTGGAATACATGCAAGTCGCTAAGCATCCGCGCTATGTAGCTATTATGGATAAAAATTTACCAAAACAGTTGCGAATCTTTTATTGAAGCAATTTTTTTTAAATTTCACTACAATAAAATCTGTTGCTAAACGGCTATTTATGCTCTCGTGCTTTTTTTAGTCAAATAAAATTCCGAACGAATTTTTCTTTCGGGGGATTGACCCCTGGATCCTCGTGGTTCCTGTTTGAGTTCGCACACCACTATGTTAACCTGACACGCGTGTAAGCAAACTGCTTGTTTTAAATTTTGGTTTTCTAATTGCAACACGCACTTTTTACTCGTGATAAGTTATCCCGCACCACACAATCGATCCAAATTGAATTGAGGCAAGGCTCTTGTCTTACTAACCCCACACACGAGTCAAAAAAGTATAAACTTCATAGTTTGTCAATATTTCATAGAGCAAAACTTATTCGGGATCACTTAATGAGCAGTCTGATCCTTCAGGGTTTTAATTGTTGTTTCTAGAATCTTGTTGGTGTTTGTTAATTGTTTTTTGTTCGGCGATCTATTCTTGGTCTATTTGCGCGCAATCTCCATCTCATTGTACTCCTGACACAGAGCGCAGACTCCGCAGACTTGGACGCAGAGGGCGTCTTCCATCAAGGTAAGCACGTGCAGGTGGTCGTCCTTCTCTTTCCTCTCAATTCCACGCGTTGATCTCACCTAAAGATTGTTTTCAAAATAAGGCAGTTAATTGTAATTCTATTCATACGCTTAGAAATAAATTACAGCACAAAATGCAATTTTCAAACGAGTTCACTCAGTCAATGTATATTATCGTCACACTTGGACAATTTTTCAAAAACCTAACACTCAGAAACTTCAGAAAAAAACAACACCAAGAGTTTTGAACAAATTAAACATTGTTGATTACAGAAATTTCTTAACTTTCATAAATCTGGAGAAATCCATTCCGATCTTGAAAAACAGGGTCTAGGGTAGGGAGCCAGCAAAAACATATCCCGAAAAAAAAAACAGAAAACAGCAAAGGTATAGATAGCATCAGTTTTTTGTCCCTTCTGACACTTAGTATCGAATATCCATCCTTATAAGGGACTAATTCAGCGATTGGACAAAAGAGAATTTTGTACCTTGCGACGAATTGCCTTTCTTACAATAAAGAATGGGAATAATAAAACAGCTCAAAGTTTTTGAATTGTTTTTCGTGAAGTTTTTTTCCGTGAAGTAAAGAGTTTTGTGAATTTTTGATTGTCTAAACGAAGTTTTTTTTGGAAGTTTATGAATTTGAAGTTTCGACTACTGCTACGAACATTTGTCGAGACAACTTGAAAACTTTTTCACTGAAACCATCCGATTGGCTAAGTGCGACACCTTCTGATGTGACAACTAAGAGGTGGGATCGTTCTTATATGTGTTGCATGGCTGCTGGTCCAGAGACAAGAAGCGCCTTATAATTATTTGTGCAAATGGCCGACGCATTCGAATCGGGCCCTGCGCCAGACCTTTGTCGCTTGCACCCGTTTTCACTTATTCTTAATCGTCGCGGCGCCGACCGAACTCCTGTTTTTTGACCGACTCGGTTGTTAATATTATTTCAAATGAGCCAAAAACCAGAAAACTTGAAATAACTAGAATAGAAACTCTCATGTTCGTCCTTTTTTCGCCGCACCTTTTTTAAGAATAGATGGCTTGAAAGTTAACTAGCGTCTGTAACTTTCACCTCCAGTACTTTAAGCAGATTGTTGAACGTGAAAATTGTTTAAATAGTTTTTTTTTAAAAAAAAGGAAAAAACAACGAAAATTAATGCAACTGTAAGAACAGACGGGCATCCCAAGAAAGCTTTCGAGTTGATTATTGTTGAGTGATCCGAAAATAAAAACAGCTTTGTTTTTTTTTCTAAATAGTCAGATCTGAAAAACTACTTGTTTTACGTTAGCATCCAATTGAGTGTACGCAGGCACGGATGTAGGAATTTCTGAATTTGACCAATTTGACCCTAATTTGACAAAATTTTTGAAATTTAGGCACTTTTTTTAAGGCGTTTTAGGCACGTTTTGGAAAATTTCGATCGAAAAATCGCGTTGGGGGGGGGGGGGGGTGAGGGGAGAGTGTGTATAGTAGATAGGTCGATCTTTACCAACAATGGTTCCATTAACAGCATTGATTTTCGATCTGGGAAGAAAACAATCCGTGTAAATTGTCGCTACAAACAGTTTAAGCATCGTCCATCACAATTAGACGATTAATTCAACTGCGTAATTAAGAAGAATTGCTACCTTTTGTCGGACTCCTGTTCGCAACATCAAACTGTAGGGGTTGAACCATCCACAGGGGAGGGGTATTGAACACCAGTAGCAGAACCCATGCAGACAGCAGTTCTCCCCCACCGACTGGGCAATCATACCGGCCACATACCAGGGACAGAAATACACCAGTAGACAAGTCTTGCACGAGTCAAAACACCCGAACAGCCCGTGGTTCCATTCGCCCATCTTGATTATTTACCTGTTTGTTTGTTGTTTTACCGCGCTGGAATATTGACTTTTTATAAACTAAAACAAAAACAAAACTCAAACCTGTATGAAATCAAGCGTCACTAGTTTTGGTGCATACGGAGAAACTAAATAAGCAAATTATTTTTATCAATGGCAGAAGAACTTAGGTTCCCCACCCACCCCCTCCCCCCCCCCCCCCCTTGTACCCATCCCTGATAAAAATTTTCATAAAGGCTAATTGTTTTTTTTTACTGTTATTTCAATTTCATTTTCGGATTGCCGTTTCAAATTAACTTAAAGGCAGATAAAAACTTCTAATTTTTTTTGTTTTTGAATTTCTCAAACTGTATATGATTAAGTACAATATGATTGATCTCTTCTAAAAATCAACATAAGCTTTTTCGCACAAATCTGTCACAATTCATCGAATAAATTCATTGTAAAACATCAAGCATTCGGCCAGGCTTTAAACTACCGAAAACTACCGGAAACTTTTAGTAGAAAAATGTGTGAAGGAACTTCATATTAAAATCAAAATTCGATGCGTTCAAAGTTAGTCAAACAAGCTTACCTGAGTTTATATGCACCTGAACCAATGAGTAAAACAATGAAAAAATGTAAATTTGTGAGTAGTACACATCAAATAGAGTTACACCTAATTAATCATTGATGTATTTTGGTTTTGTTTTGGTAATTTTTGTAGTTGCCAAGCCGCGACCACAAAGTTATACCTCCGAATTTACACGTTGCTCATTTTTTTATCTCAATTTAAAGCATGCAAAGAATAAAAATGCTGAAAAACATACGAAGAACTGAAGAAATCATGTCATATGAACAAAAAGTTCAATAAAGAAAACTGAATAATAATTGAAAACCAAAACGTGCGTAAAAAAGAGTCCTACTTGTGTGAGTAATACATTGGTGATTGTTGATGGTTCTGCACAAAGAGCAAAGAATAGAGCTTTTGTTACTTCATTTTGAAATGATTAGTTTATGTGGGCTTTTTGTTTCCATCCGTGGAAGTTTGAACTGATAGTATTATTTGTTGTAACCCAGATTTTTGTTTGAAAGTCTTCGCCCTATCATGTTGAAACCCTGTTAATTGTAATGATGCGAAATCGAAATCGCTAAATTGAGAACTATTGATTCGAAGCTTGCGCCTTTTAGATAAAATTGAAAAACGTCATATCATCAAACGTGCAAATCGCAAACCAATAGAGCGATTGATTTCAAAAAATTAAAGCAATATTCAAAATGATAGAAGATAGTTCTTAAAGCTCATTTTTATTCCATGGCCAAAAAATGCAAAAAAACTAGTTTCTCATTAAAAAAATTATTATAACTTTTCTCGTTTCAATTGGCGTTGGTTTTTTTTGTGCGGATCTAGGGTTTTCTCGATGGTAGGGGGCGGATTTTCAAAAATTTTGTCGAACTTTTTTTTAGGTCAGCCAAATTGGCTTTCTGAGCTCTCCCAAATCTCTATAAACACCCCACTTTGACCAAATTTTCTGCGCCGCAGGCAAATTTGCAAAAAACAGGCCAAAAAAAGGCAAGGCGATATAGGCACTTTTTGGAAAATTTAGACCAAAAATTTAGACCGGGGCGCGCTTCCCTCTCAAAATTAGTATATATTGGCACCGAAGGCGCCCTTTGAAAAATTTAGGGTCAGTCAGTCAAAAATGGATATCTCAAATTAATTCAAAGGCAGGGGTTCCGCCCACCCCTCCCCCCTATATCCGCTGGTGTGAATATTATTAGATTGTTTAGTTCACAGTTTAATTTTTGTTTTTATTTAAAATTGAACTTACAAATCGGCCACGACATTTCAACACGTTCGAGATTTTTGATACAATGCTTTTTTTGAGAGGAAAACTTAAGTTCAAAATTTTTGAAAACACATTAACTTTTAAATGTTGATAAAATCGCGTGTCGCATGACTAGGCTGTGCTGGAAAACCCGCATGAAAAACAAAAGAAACAAAAACGATTGAATTTTCAACCACAGTTTGTCATTATAATAAATTCAAGAGCCATCTTATTTTTAGTAAATATATCGACACCAAAGACTTCATTTATATTTTTTAAGCAAGGAAAGGATTTAAATTGAGTTTATGATCTGAGCACCTCGTCTGAACATAATATTAAACCCCCAGACACGTTCGATTGTGAGAGAGTGTTCCTAGATCAAGCAAGGAGCTGAAGAATACTCGTGGTTGGGGGAGGGGGAAGAGTGTTTGGAAGGGGGTTGGTCTAGCTTCTGGCGAGTGCATCGCCCAGACCCATTTCGTTGTACTCCTGACAGATGGCACATGCTCCGCAGAAACAGATCATGAGAATGTCCATAATTAGACTACCTTCGATTCCTTTCGATTCACGCACCTACAAAGAAGCAAAAGCTAACAATTGACCAGATTAGCTGGATGCTTTGCACGCAGCAACGATTGCTCCGACTACAGTCATCTCGGGCTAGTAGAAAAAATAGAGAAATAATTTCGTTTTTTTTTGTTATTTTTTTCAAAAAATTTTTGAGTTTTTAGTTCAAATGGTTGATTGTTTCAATTTTTGCCCCCTTTTCCTATGGGGGGGGGGAGGGAAAGAGGAAAGTGTACGGTTGATCCCAATTTTCCTGGACAATTTTTCTGGACAAGTTTTCTAAACATTTTATAAATTTTCAATTCATTACATATTTTGTTTGCATAAAAACGACCAAATAAATGTCCTTCTGTGGGAGGAGAAAACAATTAAATAGCAACAGATGTCAAAAGTAAAAATTTAGTTCAGAAAAATAAAAAGCACCACTCCAAACAAATTTGTTCGTCGCACCTCAGTTAAATATGTTAAGCCATAACACTGCAATGACAAATGATATTCTTAGACTTCTCGGAGGAAAAGTAGAAGAACGTTTGCCATAGTTGAGGCAGACACTTTTGATGTGACACATTGATTTTAAAAAAAAAATCTTTCGAAAATACATATGGATCTGAACGGGTGAAAAATCGAAAAACTTTTGCTGCAAAAATAAAATGCTCAGCCGAAATGAGATTTTCCCCAAACTTTTGATATCAAAACTAATTTATCTTTAGATAATTTCTACCAAAAGGGTCATGTGTATGTGTGAAAAATCTACTTTTTCAAGTTTGTTTCGAATTGTGAAAATTCTGAGGATGTTGAACCATTTAATGTTTTCATGGAAATTACATTTAGTGAAGAATGGAAAAATATTGATTTGACTAACCTTTCCACGAATCACAGCAGGGCAGTACCAGTTAGTGATTGGGAGTATGAGCCACACACATCCGTGCATGATGCAGGACTCCCCCAATGACTCAGCTATCTTTCCCTCCAGGTAGCAGGGGATAAAATAGCCCATAAGACAGACTTTGATGTTGCCGAAGCAGCTGAACAGACTGTAGTTCCACTCTCCCATTGTTGTTAGCTTGTTCGCTAGGTTTTGGTTCCGAAACCTAAAGTTGAAACAGTCTCTCAATTTCAATTGCCTGTCAATCGAATAAAATATTTTAAGGAGACACAAAAGCTTAGTGATGCTGAAATTGTTTATTATTTATTGGCTTAAGTATCAGTATAGTTTTGAAATTATTTGAAAAAAAAAGTATAAACTTTTACCCTTTAACATCAACTGTAGAGAATTTATTTTGAAGACATTTTATGACCATTTTTTAATATCAATTGACGCCTCAACTTAGTGCATTCTGTAATATATTTTTTAAACTTTATGTATAGTTGAACCAAAAATCTATTCCCGGATCCACAGAAGAAGAGGCGGCATATGATTTAAGAAAATTGATTCCAAATTTTATTCAAGTAAACTCTTAAAGTTGGATATTGAAGAGTAATTATTTATTCTTCAGGTGTTTCAAATAACTTCAATGTTAAAATTGAAAACATTATATTTAAATTAACAAATAGGAGGAATTCTGAAAAAAAACTGCGACGGCCAAAATCATAGCACTTAAGCTTCATTGAAAGAGGCAGCACTGCTTAGAATTCTGAAAACCACACACTCATCAAGTTAGTGATTTTAAATACAAGCGTGAGAGGCAAAACTTGAATTTATTTCTCCAGAGAATTTCATGAAATTGTACAATCTTGAAAAAACATTTGCAAAACAGCTGTGCGTGACGAAAATTTTACGCTCAGAATATAATTTGTTTCCCAACAAACTTTGACTTTTTTTGGTTATTTTTGTAGAATGAGACTACCGTGTGCGATGTAACATAACCCACGAAAAACTGTATTGGCAACGCGTTCAAATAATAAATTATTACAATTTTAAAAAGCAATAGGTACAAATCGAAAAAACAGACAACTGGATAAAATTTTAAAGAAACACAAACATTGTCTAAAAAGAATATTATCACAAACTTCCAAACCAAAAATGTTCAAAACCTCAGTTCTCAAAAAAATTCTATATATATTTAAAAATGTACAAAAAACAATCACATTTTTCCTGAAGTAAAACCAAAATCTCAACGTTAAGTAAAGGAAAGCTTCTTTATAAGCCTGCTCGTTTTAAATTTTTTTAGACGACCAAATAGATTTTCAGAGCCCTCCATTAAATTATGAAAATCCTGTTTCAACTAATTGTCTGCAAATGGCCAAAAAAATGAAAGAAATTGGCCAAAAACAATTTTTTAGGCCATTTATGAAAAAAATTTGTGGCGCAATTTTCACTTTTCACAAATCAGTTTTTCGAAGGTTTTTTCTTAAAACTTTTTTTTTGATTTTTCAAAAAATTTTTAACTGTAAGGAAAGGAAAATGCAGCTTCTAAAAGCGGTTTTTCTGAAAAATAAGCAAACTTTCAACTCGAAGGAAATAATTTTTCTTATTATCTTACTCCTATTCAAAAAATTTTAATAGACGACCAAACTAATCTTCCAGGCCCTCTCAAAACACTATGAAAACTCTGTTTTGACAAATTTTGAAAAAAAACAAGTTGTAGGCGTTTTTTAAACTGTTTTTGGCGCGCAATTGCCCTTTCACTGACTGGAAGCGCAAAAACTGTTCTAAATCATAAACGAACAAACAAGACAGCTCGTAATCAGGGCTAAGCCCTGATTGCTCCGGCTGTCTTTTAATTCATATCAAATAGTTTTAAGGAAAAAAAATATTGAAAAACTAAAAATTTTGGCCAATATCGGTGTAAAGTTTTGTGTCTTACGAATTAATACGACTAATAAGCTAGCCTCAATTCCATTTGGATCGATTTTGCTGTGCGACATAATTCGCCACGCATAAAAATTTCATTATTATCACAAAATTCCTCAAAGACCACATAATTTAGTCCAGATTATGGACGTTTTGCAATTTTCAAACCCCAGGAACTTTACAAAAAATAATCGGAGATAAGAATTTTTTTTACATTTGAACTCAGGGAGTCGATATAATCAATGAGGTTTAAAAATTTTCTGTTAAAAATTATTATTTTGATCGGTAAAAACTGACTGAATAAAAAAACACACCGAGCATAAATATTCCGTTTTTTTTCGAAGGTCAGAACAATAATGCGCAGATATAAAGCCCATATATCGGCGAATAGTTGGAAATTGCTGCTCATAGCTGAAAACGAATAGTGTTTTCTTTATAGTGTTTTCTTTTATTTTACAGAATGTTTCGATCGACAGAAAAATTTTGAAAAAGTATGTTCACTTGGCGTCTTGATTTCCCTGCTGACAGTGGCAAAAAAAGTATCAAAATGAATCATGTATCATTTCAACAAGAAACTTTTTTGTCCGCAGCTTTTGTATCGGTGACAAAGTCAGGTTTTAAGTAATAAATTTGCGAATATTCAAAGAATATTCTCCGTAAAAGTTATTATTGCTGGGGCATCAAAAAGAGTATTGACCAAACCTCTGACCCCCCCCCCCCCCCCCCCGCCTACATTCCCGAATTCCCAGTAGGCCCTAATTGCGCCGTTAACGCACAATCTAAAACTCTAAAACTTGTTTTTACTGACTTAGAAATGAACTTTGTTATCTAAAAAATATCCTTACCGTTGTTGTGCTAAAAGCGCGGTTTAATTTTTTACTCTATTTGAGCAGTAACTATAACAAAGCGCAAGCGAGTATTATGTTGCAAAAGATATTAAAAATTAAATCTGTTACAAAATTGCACGGATTTTTACTTTTCTTTTTCCATCGTGCCATTCAAATCAATATGTGTGGCATTCGAATTCAATAATAAATCAAATGTGATGGAAACGAAGCCAAAGCAAAAACGAAAAAAAATACATGGTACATTTTTAAATGCCACTCAGCAATTTTCCAAACCTCAATTTTGTCATATTTTCCACCATGTTTTCACAGCGCAGTATGTGCAGATGTTTATTTTTGCAAGCAGTTTATTCTTTTTTTAGTCTATTAATTTTTTAGAACATTCAGCTTTTTAAGCATGTATTGACAAGATGGCAACGCTAAGAAGGTGGAATTTTAACTGTTTTGTTAAACATTTGCTTTTTGAGATGAAGTTGCGAGGCAATGTCGTCATAACATCGACTGCCTCCGTATTTCCAGCAGCCACTCCTGTTTACTGTTTATTTTCCTGGTAACAAAAAAAGTTAATTTAAAGAAATAGGAATAGAACGAAAAAATCTAACTTCTTGATCATAAAACAGAAAAAAAAATCGAAATAATTGAAAGAAAGATTAAAACATCTGAGAATTTTGAGTTTAAGAAATCCTACGAATACTACTAAGTCTGCTCGTATCAAAACGAAACGAAACCTTGAACTCTTTGACTGCATTTTGTAGTTCTGATGAAACTTTGGCAAAACAAATGATAAAACTTTCAAAATTTACCATTTTATAAAAATTTTAAAAGCCCGTTATTTGCAATTTACAGCACACAAGGATAAATTAATGCCCCTTAGTCCAATATGTGAATCAATTAGCATGCGTCAATTGAATATTAAATAATTAACTTCCGCTTGCGCAACTCTTTGAAATAGAAAGCTTTGAAAGTCGGAACAAAAATTATCCACTCTTCCCCCCCCCCCCCAGTTTTTTAAGGACTCTCCTATACGTTTCTTGGCGGAATGCTGCATTTTCCGAGTAAGCTGTCGGTTGAGGGGTGTAATGAGAAATAATCTAAATTTATTTCTTCAACGGGCAACATATTATTAACCTATATTTGTAGAAGCTGGTGCCATCTATGGCATTTTCCCATTTTACTTCTAATTTTACTTGATCATCTTCGAAAAACTATGTCCAAGTGAAAGGAAAAAACGCTGCCAAATTAAATAAAAATTTTAGCAAGTTCTAAGTTGAAAACAATATCCAAGGTAATGAGAAGTTCTGAACCAATTTTGGGTGGAAATCTGTATGGGAAAGCTGTTGGTGTTAAGTTCTCTTCTCATATTTGATTAATTTTGGAGCCGTTGAGCATTGGAAGGATCAGCGGATTTAGAGGGTGGGGGGGGGGGGGGGGTGGGTTGGCGAGGGGCGAACAAATTACCTCTCCCCCTCAGGGATTCAACACCCAGCCGACCCAAAGGTTCGCCCCTTTGTACTCATTTGAGATATCCATTTTTGGCTGACAGATCCTAAAGTTTTTCTAAAGGAACCTTGGTCGCCAGTACTTGCTAATTTTAGGGGGAAGCGAGCGCCAACAGATCGCTGTTTTTGTCAAAGTTTTCCACAAAGTGCCTAAGAAGCCTGTTTGTCCTTTTTTCAAAATTTTGACTGCGGTGCAGAAGATTTGGCCAAAACAGGGTCTGTTTAGTGCTTTGGGAGAGCTCGAAAATCAATTTAGTCAACTTAAAAAAAATTGTTGAAAATCCCAAAAAAAAATTCTACCTTGTTTTTTTTATAACTTATCTATGTCAACACAACATACAAAGTTTTTGACCTAATTGACACTAATGATCAAAGTTATGGCAAAGTAAACCAAAAATTTTATTTTAATGCAGTAAAGATGTGAAATTAAAACTGATATTTTAAAGTATATGAAACAAAACCGCCGACATCCGGGCAAAACGCTGAATGTTCTGGCTGCCTTCTGAGTTCAATCAAAGTTTTTCTGAAAAAGTTACAAAATTTTTCAACAAAAACAAAAAATTTGTTTTTAAAAAAATTCTATTTTTCTAATTTTAACTCCCACGGGTTATTTAAAAAACCATGGTTTAATTTTTCTATTCTGCTTTATTAGGATTAAATTGCGCGCTTAATCTCTAAAATTGAACTTAAGTTGTCAAATTAGCGCCAAATTGATCCGCAATAATTTTGCTAAAAGGACCACAAGTAAAGTACTTTTTTAATTTAGAGATTGTGGTATCATTATCTCGCAAACTGTTTTTAAAAAAAAACGGTCGAAGCCAAGTAATAAATCGACTTGTTTAGAGAGAAAACCCTCTCGACCTGCAACATTTTGTCACTTTCTTCGAAAATTGAAACAAAAATTTGTTTGGGATAGTTTTATTGAAAATGCATAAACTAAAACCACATAATGACGAAAATCACACATCACAAAAATTGTAACAAGCTCAGAAGCTTAAGTACCCAGTGGTCCGATCTTGGAAAATTTTGCCATGGTTATGGAAGATATCTAAGAGCCATGTAATTTTTGTTACTTTGCAGTCTTGATATGATCTTGGCAAAATTTTCCAACATCTTGGAAAACTTTTAACAAAGGACAGCTGCCAGAGGAATGGCAACTGTCTAGAAACCTGATTTTTGTAATTTCAATTGATGGTCTCGAATCCAATGAAAACAAAGCGAATGAAAAGAAAAAAATTGATCGTAACAGATCCGCTTTGCAAATATATTAAAAAATTGGGCGGCTTGTTAAAGAATCATTTAACAATAAGTAGAAAAACCTAGCCAATTAATTGCATCGTAATTAAAACATCCTGTTAGCATTATGAGACCAAACTGTGCACTGGATAGACACATAAATTTGTGTCTGTATGTTCCTGGATTCCAGAGACAAGTCTTTAAGCATGTTAATTTGTATCGGAACGATCAAAGGAAATGAAAGAACAAAAAAAGACAAAGGGAGCGTCCTTGATGCGGAATCCACTTATATTTCTCAAAAAGCACAGTTTGGCCTCGTAATGAGCTTTTGTTTTTTTGTGAACTATCGCTTGAATAAATTTGAACATACTCATGTAAACTTTCTTGCGAAATCTAAAAAGAGCAAATGGCTGAGCACATTTCCACCAAATCGTTATTAGAAAAAACAAGACTCGTTGACGCTGATTTCGAAAATTGTTGTGCTTCCCTTATCAGTTGGATTTTGTTCTTCAAAAAGTCATATATCAAAATCATACGAACCTGATTCGAAAAACGTCAAAAAAAATTTTAACAAAAAATTAAACATAGAAAACTTACTGAATTCTATTTGAAAAGACATGAACTTGTTTATAATTACCAATGCAAATATTATTGAGCTTTTAGTTTTTTTAAATAAGTATCATGGATATCTTAACAAGATCTTGACCAAATTTTTCCGGATCTTTCCAAGGTTTTCGTGCTCCATGAAGCCATGTATATCTTGACAAGATCTTGGACCACAAGTTTTGATAAATTACTTTTTCGCAAGCATATATTTGACATGTTAGAAAGATTTGCCAAGAGTGAATCACTGGGTATAAGAAAATACCCATCCAGCCATACAGTTTTTTTTAGTTCAGAGTCTTTTTTTAGGTCGGAGTTTTTTTAGGTCAGAAAAATTTTCAGGTTGGCTATTTGCAATTTTTTTCAAATGCCTTGCAAGATTCTGTCAAGATAACTTCTCCATTTCAAAGTTATCGCGAGATAACATTCATCTTCATATTAAGTACAAACAATTTTTGGTTGTATAATTTAATTTCGTTGCTATTATTTTCAAAGTTTTCAAAATGTCTTCCAAAAATGACATTATAGTTTGTTTTAATGTAGATTTAATGTAGAAACTTTTATCAGTGTGTCCAAAATGATGGAAGACCACTTTGCCGCCATCCACTCTGTAAGCTTCCAAATATAGAATCACATGATTCTTTAAAAATGCCTTTTTCTCGAGTAAGATTGCTTATGGCTTGTAACATTTTCAATTACAGATATTGTCATACATACTGCCACAAAATATTTTTTTTTTGGTTTTCATTTTTTATACAATAATTTCAGATGAGGACCATTTTTGTCATGAGCTCTGAAGTTGAACGCTAGAATTACTCTAGAATTCACTGTTAAAAACTATTCTTATAATAAAAAATTCTGGTGTTAAAACACTAATAAAAAATGTAATTATTTTTAAAAAGGAGACATTTTTTTAAACAATTTACTAGATTTAACCAGAACAAATTACATCTCGGAGAAGACGAAAGAGGCCAGATAATTGCCTATAGAGTGGGTGGTGTCTTCATGTAAATTGAGATGCGCACTGGTTTGATGGTTTTATATCTGATATTCACACCTTTACTATTTTAGCGTCAAGCTATTGGTTTCTTCCTTGAGTTTGAAATATTCTATTTTTGTTACGTTTGGTTTTTTATTTTTGTAGGTTGAATTAATTTTGTCATAGAAACATTTGATTTTTTGAAGATTTAAAAAATCTCCTTGGTAAATAAGAAACACGTTTTTTACGGAGTCTCTCTTATGTAAAATAATATTTATATCATTGATGCTTGAGGTAATTTTTTTGGAATATGCAAAAAAATATGCCAATTTCTGATAACTTTTTTTGATTTGATGTTTTATTCATGCATGTTTTCCTAATTAATGGCTTTTTCGCTGAATTTTGTGCTGAGCAAGCTTCTATAGTTTTGATTTAAAGTAATTGGACGTAAACAATCAAAAACGAAATTTTCTCAAACCGTAAGAAAAAATAACGTGAAGAGAAATTGTTAGGATATTAGCAGCGTTTCATGATGTAATTTGTTTGGCGAAGAGTCAAACCAAATTCCAAACATTAAAACGTTTCAACTCATCGGTTCGAGGTCACGAAGTAGAGCAGGTTCAATTATTGTAAGAATAACTACAATTGACTCTGTTTCACTCCTTAGTTTTGAATCAAATGAGGTGACTTTTTTTAAAGCTAAGATTTTGGTTTGGAATTTCATCGAACAAAGTGCATCATAAAAACATTGATAAAATTTCAAACAATTTTCCTCCATATCAGTTTTTGTTTATAATTAAAAAACAAGATAATTTATTTAAAAATTCTTTTATTCT